CGCAGCTGTTCTTGATTTTTCGCGGAGGTCAGTTGTTCCGGCTGTTGAATATGGTTTTGCGGCAGTTGTTGTTGATGGAGTTGTTCTTGATTATTCCACGGGAGCAGTTGTTCTGGCTGATGAATATGGTTTTGCGGCAGATGTTTTTGCCGGAACGGTTCCTGATTATTCAACCGCGGCAGTTGTTGTTGAGGCCGATGAATGTGGTTTAGCGGCGGTTATTTTCGGCGGAGCTGTTCTTGATTATTCCACAACGGCAGTTGTTCAGGCTGATGATTATGGTTTTCCGCTAGTTGTTGTTGCCGGATCTGTTCTTGATTATTCCACGGCGCCAAATATTCAGGTTGATGAATATGATTTTGCGGCAGTTGTTGTTGCCGGCGTTGTTCCTGATTATTCCACCGCGGCAGCTGTTGTCGTTAAGGCTGATGAATATGGTTTACCGACGTTTGTTGTTGCCGGAGTTGTTCTTGATTTTTCCACGGCGGCGGTTGTTCAGGCTGATGAATATGGTTTTGTGGCAGTTGTTGTTGCCGGAGCTGTTCTTGATTATTCCACGGCAGCAGTTGTTTTGGCTGATGATTATGGTTTTGCGGCAGATGTTGTTGCCGGAGCGGTTCCTGATTATTCCACCGTGACAGTTGTTGTTGAGGCTGACGAATATTGTTTAGCGGCGGTTATTTTCGTCGGAGTTGTTCTTGATTATTCCACAACGGCAATTGTTCAGGCTGATGATTATGGTTTTGCGCCAATTGTTGTTGACGGATCTGTTCTTGATTATTCCACGACGCCGATTATGCAGGCTGACGAATATGTTTTTGCGGTAGTTGTTGTTGCCGGCGCTGTTCCTGATTGTTCCACCGCAACAGCTGTTGTCGTTAAGGCTGATGAATATGGTTTACCAGCGTTTGTTGTTGCCGGAGTTGTTCTCGATTTTTCCACGGCGGCTGTTGTTCAGGCTGATGAATATGGTTTTGCGGCAGATATTGTTGCCGGAGCGGTTCCTGATTATTCCACCGCGGCAGTTGTTGTTGAGGCTGATGAATATAGTTTAGCGGCGGTTATTGTTGGCGGAGCTGTTCTTGATTATTCCAAAACGGCAGTTTTTCAGGCTGATGATTATGGTTTTGCGCCAGTTGTTGTTGCCGGATCTGTTCTTGATTATTCCACGGCGCCAATTATTCAGGCTGATGAATATTGTTTTGCGGCAGTTGTTGTTGTTATTAATCACTTCAAATTTAAAATTTTATTATTTTTATTATTATTATTGTTATTGTTGTTGTTCTTGTTGTTGTTCTTGTTGTTCTTTTTCTTGTTCTTCTTCTAGTTCTAGTTCTTGTTCTTGTTCTTGTTCTTGTTCTTCTTCTTCTTGTTCTTGTTCTTCTTCTTCTTCATCTTCTTCTTCTTCTTCTTCGTCTTCTTCTACTTCTTGTTCTTGTTCTTGTTCTTGTTCTTGTTCTTGTTCTTCTTCGCGTAAGGAGGTCATATTGTGACAATAGATAATGGGAAGAATGTGGTAATAGATCTGGAAGGGTAAGACAAAACCGCTGGTGGAGCGCGAACTCTTCCCCCAACGGCTAATATACCTGAAACTTCATTAGCAGATGCTGGAGGGAAGAAAGTTGGAGGGGTGACCACTGGAAATCGATATGACATTTTGGAGCAAGATGATACCGTTAAGGCAGATTCGCTATTGACTCCGATTCAGGCTACGGCTAAGACTAATAATTTGGACAAGGCCAATGAGGGGGATAGACTTACCCCAGCCCCACTATCAAGTAATAATATACATTTTAACTATGTCACGCTCAAAGATGGGGCAGCCACTCGTACGGATGAAGAGCTGCTGTCCAATTTGGAGATTCATTATGTTGATAAAGGATCACGGTCAGATGGTCAACAACAAGATGAAGAAGAAGAAGAAGATACAGATGAATCGGATGAAGAACAAATTAATGGTTTAAACAACACCGCCGACGAGAATGTAGGACCGGTGGCGGAAGTTGTCAAAGCTCCAAAACATAAACGCAAATCTCCCCCCAAGGTCAAACGAGGACCAGGTCGCCCTCGGAAGGAACGTGTCGATGAGGATCCACCCAATACCATTGTTTCCTAATGTCGGTGCTCATATGGAACATTAGGGGTGTCGGGAACCCTAACTACCTTTTGTATTTACAAAACATAATTAATAAACAGAGACCACAAATCTTAGTTCTTCTTGAACCAAAACAACACTTTTCTAAAATTGCGAGAGTTGCTCAAAAAATCGGATTCAAGAATTATCTCTGTGGTGATTCCATCAATCCTTATATTTGGGTCTTTTGGAGGGATGAGGTGATTCTTCAATTGATAGACATTCATGATCAATGCATCACGGTGGAGGTTTGCTTGCCAAATTTTTTCACTGGAAAGTTGTCTTTTATTTACGCCAAGTGCAATCGTGTGGAGAGAGTTCCACTATGGGAGTATCTCACAGCGTTTAGTAATACTTTAGCGGAACCATGGATTTTAGGTGGCGATTTCAACGTCATTAAAACCCTAGAAGAAAAGAAAGGAGGGTCTAATACTCATTTTCTTGGGATGCAGGAATTTAATGAATTTCTTGTTGCAGCCGGTTTAACTGATGCAGGTTTTGTGGGAAATATGTTTACGTGGAGCAACAACCAACGGGGACGGAATTGCATTTGGCAGAGAATCGACAGAATGTTATTGAATGCTGAGGCTATAGCTTCTTGTTCCATTATGGTCACTCACTTACCTCGTATAGTGTCGGACCACTCTCCTCTGATCACTAAGTTTGGAAAAATGCAGCCACGTAAATCTCGATTTTACTTTCAAAAAGTGTGGTTGGAGCACCAAGAATTCGATACATTTGTTTCTTCCACTTGGCAGCAAGCGAGCGTCGTTGGGAAACATACTTTTGAGGGGAAACTAGGCTATCTACGTTCGGCTCTTAAAGAGTGGAACTGGGGCACATTTGGTAAGATTGAGGATAATATAAGTGCCATGCAAGCTAGGATCGAGGAATTGGAGCAACGCCTAGCTCACGACTGGAATGAGGGCCTGCTCCTTGAGTGTCAAAAGGTTAAAGAAGACCTCAAACAACAATTAAAGTGGGAACACGAGATGTTAGCTAGTAAAGCCCGAATTAAATGGATTGAGGATGGAGATCGCAACACTCGGTATTTTCATGCCAGTATTAAGGAACGAAGAAAGAAAAACATAATTTCTCTTAAACAAGAGGATGGCACATTCACATCAGACGGTCGGATTATTGGAGAAAAGACAGTGGAGTATTTTTCGGAACTGTTTCACGCATCCCCATATCATCTGGATTCTGATCTTTTCTCAAACGTTGAGGCCAGGGTTACTTCCGATATGAACTTACGGCTGATCGCGATTCCAGACGAGGCAGAAGTGTTACAAGCCATTAAAGAATTATCGCCAGATAGTGCTCCGGGTCAAGATGGATTTACCGGCTATTTTTATTCTTATTGTTGGCACATAATAAAGAACGATCTTATGCAGACCATTACCGGATTTTTTTGTGGCGATCATCTCTCCAAAGGTATTACGACAACACTTCTTACACTGATCCCGAAAATCAATACCCGGATTCGCTCACTCACTTTCGACCCATCAGCTTGGGGAACTTTGTGAGCAAACTAATTTCAAGAATTATTGCTTCCCGTTTGAGTCTATATTTACCAAAGATTATCTCTGAAGAGCAGACGGGGTTTCTTAAAGATCGAAGTATCCATGAATCGATAGCCATTGCTCAGGAGTTGGTTTCCGATATCGATAGAAAAGTCGAGGGTGGTAATTTAATTTTCAAATTTGATATGTCGAAAGCTTATGACAGGCTAGAATGGAGATTCCTTCTCAAGGCTATGCAAGCTCTCGGTTTTTCGCATCAGGTTTGCGATCTGATGTATCGTTCGTTCTCAAATAAATGGTACTCTTGTTTAATCAATGGAGAATCATACGGACATTTTAAATCGTCTCGTGGGGTCAGACAGGGTGATCCACTTTCCCCTCTTCTATTCATCATAGCGCAAGAGATCCTTACTCTCAATATTAAACGTTTAGAGGAACAAGGGAGCATAAACTCATATAAAGTTCGAAGGGGATCGCTTCACATTTCTCATCTTTTCTATGCCGACGATATGCTATTGTTTACAAATGGATGCAAGGCTTCGGTCCAAAATTTAAGCAGGTTGCTCAAAAAATATGAAGACTCTTCTGGCCAATTGATAAGCCTGGATAAGAGTGGTTTTTATACGTCCAAACGTCTTCAAACAAAATTCTTCGTCTCAAAGAATGGAGTGGTTGTCCTCATCATATGCTGCCGTTGAAATACCTGGGTGTGCCAATTTATCGAGGGCGATGTTTGGTCAAGTATTTTGATTATTTGACTCAACAGGTTCAAAATCGTTTGACTGGGTGGCAGACGAAATTTCTATCGTTTGGTGGCAGGATTACGTTGGTCCAATCGGTGTTGAGTAGTCTTCCAACTCATACCTTATCCTCTACTGTGGTGCCATCTCAAACACTAATTCGTATGGAAAGACTCTTTCGGAAATTTTTATGGGGCAAAATTGAGGGCCCAGGTATTAATTGGGTAAGTTGGGAGAAAATTTGTCGTCCTAAGGCAGAGGGTGGTCTTGGATTTAGATCGTTGATTGATATGAAAAATATACTGGCAGCCAAGTTGGCGTGGAGAGTTCTGGAGGGTAAGTCTTTGTGGGCTAGGTTTGCTAGAGCAAAATATGGCGATAAGTTCTCGACTCCGGCTCCTTTACATTCCACCATTATTTGGAGGAATCTTCACGTTCACTTTCAAATATTGGATAGCCATTGTCGTTGGATAGTCGGTAAGGGGCATATTGATTTTTGGAGGGATCGGTGGTGTGAGGGTGATAGGCTCGATGAATCCAAATCCCTCCTATTCAAGGAAGCGAAGTTACAGCCTGATCTTTATAAATCCTTTCTCACTAATGAACAACAACAACTATTCGATTTGATCTTGATGGATGATTCCTCTCAAGATCAATTAATTTTCACAGAGTCTTTGTCCGAGAAATTTAGTGTGGCAGCTTATTGGGAGCTTATTCGCACAAAATGTCCGGTCGTCAGATTCACGAAGAATTTATGGCACCCAAAAATTCCGTTGAATATTGGAGCCTTTTTCTGGATACTATCGTATGGGGCAATTCCGGTGGACTTGGCTCTTCGCAAACGAGGTTGTACTTCTCCTTCTAAATGTCGGTGTTGTGCTTCTCCGCATCAAGAATGCCTGACTCATCTATTTGCGCAATCCGAAGTAGCTCAGGGGGTGTGGAAATACTATGCCATGATTTGGCATAAACCATACACCTATGGGTCCATGCAACAACTTGTGCACACTTGGACTGATGGGCATAGTGTTAATACGCAAGATGGAATGACAGCTTTGGGGATTATAATGTTCGGGTGTTGGGAGATTTGGAAGAGCCGTTGTTGTGCTATATTTGAGGATACTCCTATGAACACCGTAACTATTATTCGGAATATGGCACCTTATCTTACAGCCTAAAATGATGCCATGGAGGTTAGGGTCTCGACAGGCATGCAAGGGAGAATTTTCTTGCAGAATCTCAACATTCGAATAAAAGAAACGGAAACAATTATAGGCAGATGGATTAAATGGCAGCCTCCAACTTCGCCTCAAGTAAAGCTCAACGTTGATGGTTCAAGGAAAGGAGATTATTGCTCAGGTGGGGGTCTGATTCGCGACAGTAATGGGAAAGCGATACGAGGTTTTTCTAATTTCTACGGAAAAGGGTCGCTTATATTTGCAGAAGCTCAAGCTATTATTGATGGTCTAACACTTTGTTGGGAGATGGGTTTCGAGCAAATCACTCTTGAATCGGATTCCAAGCTCGTTGTTGATATGATATATAATAAAGTCTCGATTGCATGGGAGATTCAATACCTTATCACTCGAATTCATCACCTCCTTAAAGATACATGGATGGGTCGGCACATTTATAGAGAGGCGAATGCTGTTGCTGATGAATTAGCTAAGATGGCATATGAGCACAAAGAGAGAAGATCATACTCAGTAGCTGATTTTCCTCGTCAAATTCGATCCTCCTTAATTTTAGATCGGGCTGGAGTGCCTCGCTTTCGTAAAGGTTCGAGGATCCCTTGCTGTCAATGAGCTGGTGGTTAGGAAACTTTCGGTTTTCTGATAATTACAGCATCGCCCTTTTTTGGGGTCCTATGCTAATATTGATTTTTTCTTGGTGGGCTAAGTTTTTTAGGTTATTTCATAATTACCCCCACCTGGGGGCTGTTTTGCAATTACGGAACCTGCTGCATGGAGTTAGGTGGAGAAACAAGCCGAGTTTACTTAATTGTGGTTCAACCCCTAGGGACCCTTTTGGAATTATCGAAGCTTTTGCTGCCTTAGCTCTAGAAGATTTAGTTTATTTCCTTTTTTACCACATTTTGTGGGTGCACTGTAATAGGCTCGATAGGGTCGTCTCTGATTTTTTATTACCATTGTAGGGGTACTCTTTTTCCTTGTGTTAGGCCCACAAGGTTTTAACGAGGCCCCCAAACGCTTTATCATAATGGAATAATAAAATCTTTTTGGTCAAAAAAAAAAAAACTAAACTTCTTCTAACTCTCGCTCTTGGGTGGTTTGTCGCTCTTCACTCGCTTTTGGTGTCTGAAAGATCGTACACACGGCTATTTGAACAACTGTCAATATAAAACCAATTGCATTTGGAAACTGGCATTTCAACCAACATATAGTTAGATTTAGAAATATATAACAAATTATTTAAATACTTAATTTTATTTATATATAATTAATTATATTTACCCATATATTCGCATCTTCTTTGAGGAAGCCATACATTCCCCAACGAACAGCTCACCGTAGGACGCAAGTCAGTACAATTGGTATGTACTGCACGTTACGTTTCCTAACAGCTCTATACTGTAATAAGGGAAGAAAGAAAAAAGAACAGATAGAACAAATAAATATAATTTAGTTTTTGAAACAATAAAATATAAACTCACCACGGTGCCTATAGTTGCCCCGTAAACTGATATAGAAGCTAGGAGGCACATCCAGCCTAGAATCATAAGTCTGGAGTCACCTTTCGACGTAAAATACGTCAGAAAGATGATCACACAAAAGAATGACATGGTAAGTCCCAACATTTTGATAGTATCGTACCGCATTATAAACAAAAAATTAACTACCATCAATATCTTAATTAAATACTTATTTATTAATTATTTCGTAAGTTTTAGAGGACGTCCTTTGAAATTTACTTTGTGTTTATGAGTTGAATAGAATATGTACGCGGAGATGTACACTGCCTCCGTTATGCAACCAATACTATTTATAGAAACCAAAACCATCGCGTTAGAGGACGGCCGTCTCAATTCGAGAGACTTGATTCTTCAACAGATGAAATTCGGTCGGCTGTCTGAGATTTAAGTGTATTTCTCAGACGGTCGTCTGGGCTATAATTCTTCAGATTTTTGACTTCTTCACTTTTCGCCCATATTTTCTCCAAAATTGCAGTTTTAACCCTTTATTTATCCAACCCATCAATTTGTACCTAAAACACAATAAATCAACATTTTAAGCACCAATTATCAATAAAATACACCAAAAGCTCCAATAAAAGGTACGATCAAGTGTAAAAATATACACTTAACAGAAACTCGTGAGAAAAATAAGTACGAATTTCCACGTATAATCACATAATATGCACGAAAACTGCACTTGATTTGAACTTGCATTTGGTTGGAATGTCAAGCAAAACAGTTTATAATTAATATTATTTTCAATCATCAATCATACATACTTAGGAGTGATTGCAATACAACGTCTGTTGAATCATAATATCATATATGTATGATTACCAGTGCAACAACTTTCTTTGTTCTTTTGTAATGGTTTATTTCGTATGAAATGACACCTGCAATAAATTTTTCATTAATTTAAACGTGTGTGAATCGAATATAAATTTGTTTAGTCGAAAACACGAATCGTGAACCCTTACAATTTTATTTTTACATGTCATATTATTATATTAAATATTTCAGTTATGTCTCTGAACATAATATTAACGAATTAATATTAAACAATTCCAAATTCCTTTTTATTTTGAATCATTAATCATTCTTGAAACTCGTGAGAAAAATAAGTACGGATTTTGCACGTATAATCACATAACACATATGAAACTTATATTGCTTTTTGTTCTATATTCTTCTTCTTTTCCGTACTAATGAACATATGCAGTCAACATCACTCTATCCAAACTACAATTAGAAAAAGAAATTAATAATAAGAAATTGAAAAAAAATAATTAAAAAAAATATCCTAACAAACAGTTTCGGCAGTCTGTGTCTCTCCAACAGTCTCGACAGTCTGTGGTGAACTGTAGATCAAACTCGGCTCATAAATAAATCGGGTTTAATAAAATGGTTCAAACTCTTATTGGATATTATTATGTGGTTTATTTTTATATATTTTTTTGAAATGAAATTTAGTAGTTCGTAGTTTTACTTTTATCGACGTGGATATTCTTATTTTTTGAAAATTATGAAATTTTCATAAAGTTTCCGCTAAGTTATGAAATTTTAAAAGTTACGTGATTTCCGGAATTTTTCCGACATTCCGAAATTTTCGGGCCGTTTGGAATTGGATTGAATTTTTAGATTGGGCAAATGGCAAAGAGGGACGTGACAAGGGACTTAAATACACATTGGTCCACACAAAAAACAGTCTTTCAAATACACCCATCCCCATGTCTTTAGTCTAAAATACCCTCAATAATATATTTTTTTTTCCTGCCAGATTCCGGCATTGACTGGGCGGTTCTACGGCGTTGACTTTTATTTTTTCCCTTGAAATTTTTTTTCCAGCCGGTCAACTTGGGTTGACTTTTTTTTTTAGTTTTTTTCTTAAAAAAAATATTTTAATTAATATTACTGGTAATTTAGTAGCCAAGACAGTAATATTAATTAAAATATTTTTTTTTAAGAAAAAAAAAAAAAAAAAAAAAAGTCAACGCCGGAGACTAGCGGTCTCCGGTGGTGGCGGGTCAAAATTGGTTAATTCGTGAAATTGGGCTAAATTGGAGTGTAAATCATGAAATTGGAGTTGAATTAGGTTTCCATGAATTGGAGTAATTTTGGTATATATAAAAGGGTTTTCCTTATTTGTAAATAAGTTTGAATAAACTGTAAATATGTGCAAGACAAAAAAGTTAGATGTCCATTTTGAATTAAATACCCTTATCATGGGTCTATTTACCATTTACCAAAAAAAGAGTATAGCCCAATTTAATGAAGATGTGGATGTGGATGTACTGCAAGCTATTCTATTAGTCTATGCACGCTGGTTTGGTGAAAATTCAACCACACAACTAACAAATTTTTCATGATGTATGGATTTCTTGCAAAAATTAAAAACTGCTATTTATATTAACCTATCATATAAAGTAGTAATTGCATTATTTCTTATAAGGGCAAGTTAGATAAAATTTATCATATCACATTTCAGAACGATTCAGCCCCCTCCATTGTTAAAACAATCATCACTCCCAACTTTTTGAGTTTTTTTTTTAAGATCCATTCCCTACTCAATTGAAATGATCGAAAATTTGTTCTTCTGCCGATTTCAGGGATAAAATTAAATCACGCACAAGGTACCAATGCATTGCTTTTTTTTTTTTTTTTTTTTACTACAATACTGATTTGATTTTTGGGTGGAGAAAATTAATTTGTTATCTTTGTCACTGTGATTGTCTGGATTGGATTTTACAATAAAAGTTGAAAACTAATATAATGAATTTTTACAAACTCTGTTGTCTAATTCTTATCATGGATGTGTTTATATAACTCTAATAATATTCATTTCATATTTTAATGGTAAGTGAAAAGTTGTTGGAAGAGCCTATTATATTCCAGCATGAGGTTTTTGTATTTGTTATGTCAGAATAAATATATATATATGTGTGTGTGTGTGTGTGTGCGCGCGCGCGCGCTGTTTATTAAGATTAACCCTGTGTTTAGACCCTGGGGTTCTGTATATATTCGTTGGATGGTTTTAATTTAGAATATTATGCAATATTTAATTTTAATTTATACATGATAATAATAATAGTTTTAAGTGTTCAAGAATTTAGAGTTTGATTCATTGTGCACTAGCATTAGCTCATAATACTTTACAAATGCGGGCGATTGTTCTATTTCATTTAATTTGCAATAGTGCCATTTTTTATTTAATATTATTTCCATTATGAACATGAAGTTATAAAATGTACTAAAGGCATGGATCGATTAAATTTGGAGACTAAAAATCTCGGCTGAATATATTAGATTCGAAGTTTACATGATCATACTCAAATTTGAAGAGTTGAATTCTATTATAAGTATTGTCTACTCTTATTCGTTTCATCTTTTACAGACGTTTAATTATTCCCCCTAAGAAAATTTTGTATTATATTGTAGGTTCTATTTTCCGTACATACATCTGAGATGGTGGCTCATCTAGCAGCGGTCTTTGGCTACTTAGGAGTTGTTATATCCGTATTCGTCTACTTAGCTCCCGTGTGAGTTTTGTTTTCTCTATTTTATGTTTTTTGTGTGATTTTTTTCCCCTTTAAATTCAAATCATGTCACAAGTCGGAAAAGTAGGGGAATGAATTCAAATCCTAGACCTCTACTCTTATAGTAGAGGTTAGGTATCAATTCTCTTAATAAGAGTTGGTTATTAGAATGAATAGATAAGATCAATCATTATTTCAAACAATACTCTATAAACTCTGATAATCATTAATTATGTTTCAATATATCAATCAGAACACACCAATAATCAATATGGCCGAAACCCATTCCGATTCTCATGTAAAAAACATACATTTTGTTAATCAAATTTTTGATATTTATTATGTGTTTCGTATTGGTTGTACAAAATGCAACACTGCATTTCGTGTAATGCAACACGAAACACATCATAGCATTTCGTGTTGTCCTATACGAAATGATAAAAAAAAGCTGATTTTTTTAACCATTTTGTATTGGTTTCCATGAAACTAGACGAAATGCAACTGACAAAAAATACCTTATTTCGTGCTACAGAGCACGAAATGCAGCCATCCCTTCGTAGCACGAAACATAAACGAA